TAAAGAAGCCTTATTGACATAATTGAATGGAGATGTATAACTAGCATTGATGTTGTCACTTGGATATGTATGCTGTGATGTTGTATTGAAGAAGCAGAAGGAGAAGATGGATGACGTCTTGTGTGGAAATATTACTGCCAGATAAGACTTAACTATGCTCTGAAGAGGCAAATTAGTAAAATAAATAAGGAGCTGGATAAAGTGTTCAGTGGTCAAACAAAGCAGAAAGGCTTGTAGGGTAGTGAAAATAAATTAAATACTCTTGCTTTTCATCATTTCCTAATCATTTTGTAGCCTTGCTTTGCAACACTGGAAATGCTGACCTCACTTTGGCCACAGTGAAATGAGATGTTAGCGCGGTACCCTGTTGAGATACAAATTTAGGGAGAATCATATTAAATTGAAGATTGGAGCAGGGGGTGTAGGAATGTCACCCATGCATTATCCTTCATGGTAAGAGATGCTAAGTGTGAAGTTTTCATTTCCAAATCAGTCACTCCTCCCACGTGGTTTTGTCCTGGCATTTGCTATCGTCATGGCATGATACCTACTCACTTATGGTTGCTGGTCCAGTTAGTGAAGTGTGGTTACTACAGCAGCTGCTAAAGCTCTTTCTGGGCTTGTAACGTGCAAACAAGGGAAATGGACGTATAGCAGCAGCTGCCTCACAAAGATGCTGAAAACTTGGGAAAAAGGAGTAAGAAGCTGGTTTTTTAAGCAAAGAGGATGAAGACAGATGTAACACTTCCACAGTTTGTTTTACTTAAAATTTATTTTAAAATTGGGTGAGGCAGCCTAGGCAGTGGGTGCTTCACTGGATAGAGTCATAGATGTTCTACAAGAAGGATGGCCTTGCCTTAAAGTGCTTCTACTCTAGCTGATACCTCTACCAAACTGTTGAGAGCTGAAGAATTTTAATTGATTTGAGAGAATTGTTCACACTTCTAGATTCATCTGTGGTCCTATTCCATACATTGGGCTAGAGCTTTCAGAAACAGGAGTACATATAGGAAAGGACAGAAGCTTTAGTAGAAAATCCAGTGGTAGTTGAAGTCTCACTGAAAGGCATTTTTTAACTTCTTATGCTCACGGATATCAAGTTACAAGTCTGCAGCATCAGCAGTAAGGGGACACCGGTAGTATACCAGCATCAGTGTCACAGAACAGAACAGAAGGACATCCTCACCAGCACTGGTTTAGCAGAAGGGGGCTAAGCTCAGTGAGATTGCTCTCCAGTGAACAGCAGTGGTGATCACAGAGGAGTGACTTCAGGTGCTCTGATACGGTCTCTGGAAAAGCCTTTCCAGAGGCTTTTGGAGCCATGTAGGGGGTGTAGGGAGATTCACCTCCTTGGGGCTGACTTTTGCAGCCCGTCTCCCTGGTTTGGGGAATGGTTCCTTTCTGGATTAATACCACTGCCTCCTATCATTGTGACTACAGTGACACTAAAGCTTGAATAATTCTCCATCTGCCATCAGTAGTACTTTTCTAATTAATAGGTTTAATCATTAATGTTCTAAGGAATATATTATAATATTAGCTGTTTAAATATTATTCCAAACTATGCTTTAAAAAAGCCAAGTTTACAGCAATTTAGTAAGATAGCTGCAATGAGGAAGTAAATTTATGTTGTCCTGTGCCGATGTTGTTCCATGCTAGGCAGCTTGTACTTAAAAAATAGAAAACAGAATTTGGCATCATAAATAGATTCATTAATGTTAATTTAATGATGATGACAACAGTTACAATGATGATAATTTTATTAAAAGATACTTTGTAGAAAGTGGTCAAACTTTGCCTGAGTTTTGCAGGCATGTGGAAAAGCAGTTAATTGACACCATGGTATTTTATTATTCTCATTATGCTCTCTCACTAAGTAAAACTATCTTTTTGAAACCAGTCTCATTGTTATAGATTATAAGCACTTAATAGAAATGAGTTTGAGTGCTATTGCTATTACTGTTACGCTGCAATCTGGAGTTTTTACACAGGCAAAATTCCATGTCCTAGTAAGGACTACGGGCCACCTCAGCTTGGGACACCTAGTGTTAGCTAATTCCTTCCTCCTAGACACTGGGGACATTTCCCAGGAGCTCTGATCAAGTCCAAAGGCATTTTGTTGTCAAACAACTTGGATCCTAGTTCTTTTTTATGGTTATTCACGTTCTTAACCAAACAGCTAAATCTTAAACTAGGTGTTTGTCTGTGTGTCTCATTTGAGAGACATTAATAAGTTGGGGCACAGTTAAGATTCCTTGCATGTTTCCGTGCTGGCTGCTGCTTTTTTTTTTTCTGTAAAACACAGCTGGAGGAGAAGGTACCTTTTCTAAGATAGATTAATAGTAATATCATTCACTGAAAGCCTCTCCCAAATTATAGCTTCGTTTCCAAATGTGCTGGATCAAAATGTGTGCCCTCCCAGTAAAAATATTTGTGGAAATTTAGTTGCACACAGTAATATTAAACCCAGTATATTTTGAAGAAAGGCTACTGAAACAAATGGCTGGCAGTAATGAATTGTTAAGAAACATTGTAAGGAATATAACAATTTTTAGATTACTACTATGCATATTACTTAGAGATTTGGATTCCTCTTTTTATTTAGAGCATGTCCGCGTGTCCCCCTTCAAATGCCCACTTCATGTACTCCAGGTGGAAGTAACTGCTACTGATACAAAGTGCTGTAGCTCAGCTGCTTGCTAAAGTAAGCCACTAGGAACACACAACTTGAATTTGTCTTTCCCAATAAATACAGAGTTTGGTTTCTCACTGCTGTGCTGATGTTTAAAACTCTGAAAAGTGTGGCTCTGAAAAGTGAAAAGCACCTGTGAGAATGCTTGCCTTTCCGTGATGACTCACTTTACTGGGGTCATGAAGCAGTTTTGTCAGAAAAAAGAGCTGCTCCTGCAGTTCATCTGCCTGACGCAAGACGCTCCTTGCCACATCAGTGGAAGTGAGCCCTGCTCTCACCTTCTTCTGAACTAGATGGAAACCCCGTCTCTTGAGCCTTCAGCAACTCTCAGGGAAAAAAGCTGCACAGTCTATGAATTAAATCCCCCCAAATCTTGTCCTTTTGACAGAACCAGAAGTGGAAGAGATTTCTGCACTCGCATTTCAGAAAGAGCACTGAGAGAACAGTGTTGATTAAGGTTATACAACCTGATGCATGTTGCTTGCTAACCCTGTTTGTGTTAAACACCAAGATCCTACAGTCAATTCTATGCAAATGAACTGATGGACTTGAACGGAGTCAGCTATGAGCAGTTGTATGAATGAAACAGTCTCAGACACAGTTTTTCTAGGAAAAGGGGATATTTTGAGAATGATCTCCCTTTTTTCATTGTCGGCTTTTGCTGTTAATTTTGAGAGTCCCTAAATTAAGGGAGTTAATGTTCCAAGCACTAGTGTAGTTTGGATAGGGATCTTGTATAAATGGATTTTAAATCTGTTTGCAGGCGGCACTTCCTAATCTTCTTAAAAGGATTTTGACAAGAGAGTTAATGCTTATTAGTACGTGTCAGCTAGTGCACAGTTAAAAAAAAGGAATGGGTGAAAATCCTACCTGAAATATTTCAAAAGGGAGCTGTTGTAGTTGGTTGTGGTTTGAAGTGGTAAGAGGATGTCACTGTGATGTAGAAGCAACTGTATACACCAGAGAGTTATTATTTTCATCTGTGGTTAATAAGGGTAAGTTGGAGTATAAATGAGGATAGAGATTTAATCCCTCCTAGAATTAATTTAATAAGAAAGACGAGACAGAGATGCAATGTGAGTAGGATCTGGGCTTCTTCCCTGAGACAAAGATTTGGATCCCTTAAGTCTTTGATTCCAAAGAGGAATCTTTAAAAAAATCCTGTTGGAAGGAGTGCTTACACTGTGGGTGCAACAATAAGATGATAAAGATGTATTTGTGAACTTAGTCTTGGTTCATTGTAAGCTACCTGACTTCTATTCATTTAGAAGCTCATCCACTAGCTAAAAGAACATTTTTGTCAGTAAAATTAGCATTTGAATGAGTGATAGGTCTAATGATCACCGACAGTTGTCTGTCTTTCTGGTACCCCTTTATAGATAAATGATTTTCTGCATCTGATCCAGCATGATCTTCTAGGAATGTTCTATGTTTCTTTCTATGCGTAGTGATAGGCATTTAGTCTGTTATGAAAGATTCTTTCTAATGCTGTCAGTTAGTGGTTGATTTACCTGCTGATTCATAATGTTTGATAATCACATTTAAAATGTATGTTATGGAGCTAATTCACTTTAGTTTCATTAATATGTAGTAGTTTTCTGAACCTGCTGGACTGCTGATCCACATGCTACTTTGTTCTACAATTTTATTTTTCTTGAAATCTTCTTTTTTTGAAGGTGTTACTGTCATAGCTTTTAAATACTTTAAATATTTGGATTAAAACTCTTTTTACTTTCCAATGAAGAGTTAAGATTCTTGCTTGCATATTTAATTTGTCCAACATTAAGAGACAGGAACTGCGTGAAAGAGAATGTACTTTATTAAAGTTGTCTTTCTTGCTTGCAGGAGAAAACAGAACACTCAAGTTAGTTTGTACCCAGTAGGATGCAGAAGAGATAGGCGTTACTGCTGATATCTAAAGCTTTTCTTTTAGCCAGATTGAGAACTTCTATTTTGAGCACCGATTCCACATACCTCTTGTATGTTTGGACATCTGTTTATTTGTATCATCATATATACTGTATCATCATATATACTTTTACAGTAATTGCTACAGCAGGACTTTGGTGCTAAATGGGGCTTCTGGACACTGCCTGTGTTGAAATGATAACAATCATGCTCAAGTTGATAACGGACAGTTGTTAGGATGTTTTGGAAGGGTTTCACCATTATGTACCTGTAAAATGCATTTTAATTGGTTTATATTATAGTGTGACATTTAATGCAAACATTTGTAAGTTTGGTGCGCACAGGTGGGGATATTTCTCTGATAAAGCCCTTAAGAATTTTGTCCTTTGTTTTCTTGCAGACCTTTGGAACGTTCCAGTGAAGATGTAGATATAATATTCACACGACTGAAAGAAGTGAAAGCTTTTGAGAAATTTCATCCAAACCTTCTTCAGCAAATATGTCTCTGTGGATATTATGAAAATCTGGAAAAAGGAATCACATGTAAGAGAGCTTCATATGATGATCTATTTTATGTAGATAAAATTGGGGGTGAGGCTGGGATTGTCTCTAGGAGATCGATGAGAGAGCATGGTCAGGGGAACGGCCATAAAAATGTTTACAGTCATAGTCATGGGGGAAGGCAGGACTAAAGTGCTGCTTGCTCTACAAATACAGTGTGTAGTGAATCTGTAGTAACAAGGCACACATTATTGGATTTAGGACTCTGCCACTGTTTTGTTGAAAGATTAGAAGCAAGTCATTGCACTTAAGCCTCATTCTTCCCCTGTAAATGTATTATTGATCTCTTTTGTAGGTGCTTTGTGATGTCAGGGGCAAAAGTGTATCACCTAGGCATATTGCTAATAGCGTGTGGTTTGCAGTCACTCTGGATAACACAAGACAGATTTGCCGAGCTGCATACTGCTGTGGGGTGCAACAGCTCTGTGCCTGCTCTGGCAGCCTGTGTGCCAGATGAAGGTGGACAGCTGTGCTTGGTCTATGAAGCTGAGATGGAAATAAGTGGTGGTCCTGTGATGGGAATATGTGAGTTCCTAGAGCTGTACCAGGGGAATAGCTGATGGAGACCTGTTGTGTTTGGTAGAGTCTCAGGTACCCCTCAGGTAAATCTGGCATGCTTTAGGCACACAGCACTGGGGTTTGCTTAGAGTGATAGGAACTCTGATGCTCTGTAATCACAGGGTTGGAATGCCTGAACATCAAAGTCCTGCAGTTGCTTCTCAGCCAGAACTCTTACTGAAGTCAGTGGGAGCTGTGTCTGCCCTGGAAGATTCTGAATTTCAAAGGCACATTGTTCAGAGAGTCTTTTTTGTTTGTTTGGGTTTTTTTGTTTGTTTTGTTTATTAACTAAGATAGCAGTAAAAGAGAAGCAAACTGGGGAGAAGAGTGAAGAAATTCTATGTGCTTTCATTGTTTCTGTAGTGTATCGACCAGTTTACTAAAGTATGTGCTTTCCAGTGTTATTGGAAATATTATTGTAATAGTAAGTAAGTAGTCTGATATGGTCAATTCTGTAGTGTCAGCAGTGACTACAGTAATGTACAGGGATTTTTTTGTTTTTTGTTTATTAACTAAGATAGCAGTAAAAGAGAAGCAAACTGGGGAGAAGAGTGAAGAAATTCTATGTGCTTTCATTGTTTCTGTAGTGTATCGACCAGTTTACTAAAGTATGTGCTTTCCAGTGTTATTGGAAATATTATTGTAATAGTAAGTAAGTAGTCTGATATGGTCAATTCTGTAGTGTCAGCAGTGACTACAGTAATGTACAGGGAAAATGTTTGTTAATGTTGCTAAACTTAATGAGATAGCTTTTATTTACAAGATTTCATCTTTCCAGTATTCCGTCAGGGTGATATTGGGACGAACTGGTATGCTGTTCTGACAGGATCACTGGATGTGAAGGTTTCTGATACAAGCAACCACCAGGTAAAATAGATTTTTCATTGAAACCATCCAGTCACTAGTACAAAGAAAGGGTATGACTTATGCTGAGGTAGATAACAATGACATATATCGTACAGATATTTTGTCTTATCACAAGCATGTTTCTCTGAGTCTCCTTTAGTCTCAGTTGTCCTTTGTCTGTGGAGGCAAATCATGCCATTGATTTCAAGAAAACTGAAATGTAATGCTCTGAAAAGGGGTCTACATTTTAATATGAAACAAGACTCCTCTGTCTTTTCTAATAGTGCCATATGAAGTTAAGCTAAAGATCTAAGAGTTGTTAATTCATTCCCTGGAAATATTTTAATTTAGTCCTTGTTCAGAAGGTTCAAACCAAACCCACCAACAGTGCAGTCTGATAACAGCATACTGCAGTCTCCACTGCAAGAATGGGGAAGTATTATAGTAATAGCAGAGTATTGGAACTGCTGCCATGTTAGACCAGAAGCCTGGAGGTAATACCTGTTCAGTGTTAAGAAATAGAAGAACGAGTAAAATTCCCCCCAAATTGCAAGTGATTTCTCAGTATCTTGGCACTCCTGGATTTACAAAATTGGGAATTTAGAGTAAATTAAAAAAAAAAAGGATGAGCTATTTCTCCTGGAGAGAGTTTCCCACCCATGTCTTCTAATGTTATGCTGACAAGTCATGCACTTCCTGCTGTGAGCTGAGTCTTCTGGGAAGGCATCATGTCCCGTTCCCTGCTCCCATGTTTGAGATCTGCGATTGTCCCGTCATGTAGCTCAGCATGGGGTTGTGCCTCTGACATGTGACTCATTGTGCCTTCACATGAGTGGTATAGCTACCCAGGACTTGAAGTATAACACTACCCCGTTTTCCCACCTTGATTGAATGTAGCATGCGTGGGGTGGTGGTGTATTCTTTGCCCACAGTTTGGCTGATTGGGGAAGGTTTCTTGCTCATAGAAGATTGGCAGAAATTGGTTTTTTCACTTTTTTGAGCACTGCATCACCAGTGAAATTGGGTCAGAATGCAAGTCAGGGCAGTGTGTGAGCACTGGGTCTTCTTGCTGATGTGAGCACTACTCACATACTATCTTAGTGTGAGCACTGCTTCTTACAGTAAAATGATAGATACAAAAGGAACTTCTTTCATATACTTATTTTTAGCAACCTCTTCACTATACTAAGTAGAGACTTATTGAGAGTATAATTAGCCTAATTTGAGCAATTCTCAGCGTGGCCTGGCTGTCATTGGTATTGTCACAATTTGGAACAGTACTGAGCTCTTCTGGAGACCCTTTTCTGTGCAGGTCTAAAGCACTCAGGAATATTTTCCGGTGTTTGCCAAAAGATGGCACTACACTATTGTTAAGGACCAATGCTCTTTACTGAATCAGAAAGAAATATATCCACAAAAGTGTTCTGGATGTGGAAGTTAAATTAAGAATCTGGAGTGTTGATTTGTTCCATTAGATGGAGGATGGAACATTTCAGCCTTTTAAGAAATCTAATGTAACTATTTTGTTCAGCTTATTCAGGTTCACTGCATTTTCCTGCCAACAGGAAACTACAGAACTACAATTCATGTAGTTCTAGTTCTAGAAATTATATTCTGCAGTAATTTCTTAACCTCGTGTTTCCTTCTCACAGGAACAATGAACTGAATTCTTACCACTGCCTAGTTGCCATAGGATACAGCCTCACTGCCAAAAGGACAGCAGCTTGTGCATTTACCATTCCAGTGCTGGATAAGTTTGGTGGTTGGGGACTCCTAAATAGTATTTGAGTCCAGTATTTTCTCTGGTTTTGCTCCAGCTTGGTGTTTATACCATGTCCCTCCTTGTCCATGCTTGGTCTCATGCTCCTTGTTCTGCCTTTAGCTCCTGGGTGCCCTGTTCCAGTCTTGCCTGTACTTCCTTGTTGGCATAGTGCTAGTCATTCTTGAACTTGAAGTACTTGCTAGCACTCCCTGCCTACTGTGCTCGCTACAAACCCAGATGATGGAGGAAATAACAGTGTAGCTCCATAGGCGGGCAGCCCTGACAGACTCAGTTGTCAGCATTGTGCTCCCAGCTGGGAATGGATGACCAGTGCTTAAGATGTAGGGATGCTTGTAACCTACCCTGGAGCACATTTTCCAATAACAGCACCCAGGAGCCAAAGTTTCCTTTGCAAAGTCATAGTAATGATTAATTGCTCTGCTGTTACTGTTATACCATAAATGGCACTAATGCTAATGAGAAACTTCCAGCAGAGCAGAAGAGATACAGAAGTTTACCTGAGTTTACAAGTTTAGAAGTTTTAGTCTCATGTGAAAGTACAGAAGGATTATGCCATCTCTTCTAGGAAGAGAGAAGCTAACTTTGTACTTAGGTTCCTATTGGTTAAAAAGCCTTTAGACATGACTAATAATCTTTTAATACTTAAGATGAGCAGGAGGTTGTACTAGATGACCTCCTGAGTTTTCTTGCAGCTTGAATTATCCTATGATTATATGATGATGCCTACAGTGTTAATGTAAATATGGAAAATCAATTCTCTTGATTAAAAATATATTAGTCCCACTTTTACTAGGTGTTTATCTGTCTACCTGGGGAACTTAAATTTCAGCAACCTGGGAATAAATGCGTTGTGTAGCAGCCTCCACGTGCTAACTCTTTATGTAGTCACCTTTGGTGTTTGGTAGCTTTCTCCCATTAAAAGTGCAGTAAGTTATTGTGCACTTGGTGCTTACTAAGAATGTCTTAATGGCCTTTGCTCCTACAGAGGCATGTAGTTACATGTCTTGCACTAGAAATTATATCTAAATGCACTAATGGATCAAGACTTCAGTGTAGCTAGTGAAGTGTTAATTCATAGACATTCTTGCTGCACATGAGCTTACTCATGCGGACACCTGTGGTTTCTCACAGAAAATGTTAGTAATACTGATTAGGACCAAGTTGAGAATTCATATAAACAGAAATATTAACATTACCTATTATTTGCTATTATGATAAGAGGAAGCATTCCATGTACTGATTTAAATGTTTTAATAAAGACAAACACATATTTAGGATCTCATAGATAAAGCCTCACTTTCATCTTGGTTTGGAAAAATCCTTTCTGACTGCTTGCAAAACTGTATTGTGTCACAAGAGGGCAGTGTTAGAATATATAACAAACTGAGTACAGGCACTATTCAAAATTAAAATGGCTAGTCTGAAAATCATATTCAACTACTCACAATATACCTGTTTTAAAGAGTTTGACCAGAGTAGATTTCTCTGTTACCGTTAGTTCTGTTTCACTGAGGTGGTAAAATATTCTAGCTGCTGCTAATCATGGTTGTAATTTCATTTGCCGTTGAAAGGGGACAATATAGTTTACGATACAGAGTTCTGACAGGATTACCCATCCAGAGTGGGTAATCTGTGGCTGGTCTGCTTTCTAGACACATTATTTATGAATTTTCTGGCTATTCAACAATCAAGAAGAGACTGAAGAGGACTTTTTTTTTTTAAGGTAAAAATGTCACACTCTGAATTGCAGAGGTCAGTGTAATGAACTGTTTTGGTCTTGCCTCAACTTGTTTGTAACAAATAACCTGATAAATATTGTACTTAAAAACAGAAAATGCAGCCTGTTTAGAATCTATCAGAAAGAGGTCTTTACCCTCAGTTATGAACATATTCTGAATTTAATTTTTATTTGGCACTGTTACCTACCCAATGTTACAACCAAGGTATACAGTAATAAAAGTTCCTCTTAGAGATATTCCTAGTTTGGTGTTGTCTTAAAAATACTGCTGACTGCCTTGTGTATGTTTAATTTTTGAACTCTATTTTAAAAATGAACAGGTTCTGAAGAATGACTGTTGGTAATGTCTCAGAATAAAGCTGGGAATAAATGCATTATGACAAAAGCATCAGTGTGACATCTTTGCCAGATTCTGCAGCATTGTGTTTTACTGAACTAGATTCAGAGCCTTTTACCCCAAATGATTAAGATTTATATTCCTATCTGATAAAATGGGAAGGAATGAAGAGAAGAAAGACAAAGACCAAATAGCAATTTGATCTGCAGTTTTGCTGTAGTCTGCCAGCTGAATCATAGAGTGCACTGGGAGCTATTGCTAGTTTATCTTGCCTGTGTTTTGGTGGATTTTTTTTAAGCTGATCAGATTTTAAAAACAGACCAAACTGAACGCAGGGCATTGACTTTACAAACAATTAGCCTTTTTTAGAAAAGCTTTAAAGGAGTAGCTGTGGGTGTTTGGGTGGTACGTCAGTGTCAGTTTAGGAAGGTGCAGAGGGCTGGGGATCAAAAGCCAAATAAGTTAGTGGGGTTGTTGAGAAGAATGACTGTGAAGAAAGAGGTTCAGATGTCCACGTAAGAAAGGGAAGAATTTCCTGGCTGTTTGAAACTGAGGACAAAGGAGGTATGTGATAAGATGTAGTGGAAACAAGGAACAGGATTTAAACAGGACAGTCCCTGCAATACTGCTTTCTGCATGTAAATGCCATTTTGTATGCATGTAAATAGCCATCATGTATTTTGGAGATAACCTATGTGAAGTCTTGACATAGGTTTGTACTGTAGTCTGCAGTGTAGTGTAAATATGCCCAAGCTACCTACTATTATTTCGTTTGAGCATGAGAACTGCTCTACCTATTGTAACACAGAGATTGGCTGGACTAATGTACTCAGCTGAGAAGCAGCGTGTGTTGGCCCATGCTGAGCTCCACAGTGTCATGGTTGTCCTAATTTTGGTTTTGAACTTAGCTTATTGAAAGTTAATATAGAAAAATTGTTTCAATTCTGTCTGCCAGGTAACCTGGCAAAAAGTCCAAGATGTTGCAGGTAGCTTTTAGAGGATCAGATAGAAAGGTATGGAAATAATGAATGTTATTACGGTACTATTAATCTGATCTGTAAATATTTTAATTAGGAGCTAGAAGAGAAGTTGGTCACAGTCTTTCTAGAAGCACAATGCTTCCTTTAAGCAAATCACCTTGTCTTGTGTAAAAAGGATGGCCTAACATATGTTGGCAAACTGCAATTCCAGTGTGGGAAGATATTTCTATGTTATCTTTAAAAGTAGTTTGATAAGGATTTCCTATCTGAATGGCTGATACATACTCCAGTAGAGGTAATGGACCAGGAAAATTACTTCATAGAATAGATAGTTTACTTTCATGGTTTCTCTGTTATAAAAGGAAATTTTTGCTGAGGACAAACTGAACTGTGTCGAAGTAATAATAAGCAAACTTTTCAAAATGCCAGCTTTTGCACATCTCCAATTAAACATGGAGATGGTATGGAGTCCTGGAGGGACACAGGTGCAGAGGTGAGTTAAAGGTACAAGGTGTGGGAAAATGATTAAATTAAAAACAAACTAGCTACATCAACTCCCTTATAAACTCAAAATATTGAATAAACTAAGATTTCAAAGAAAAGTGCCCAGTCCCTTTCAACCTAGCACTTGTAATTTTTTTTCCTGTTTTCTTAATTTCTCTTTCAGACACCATGGTTTTGTTTACACACAGTACAAAAATTCCGTTTGCCAGGTTGGAAAATAGAAAGTGTCACAAGTCAGGGAGGAGCATGCAGGGATGTGCCTTGTGATGGCAGGGGAAGGAATAAGGCAGAGCCTTGTTTCTGATTCTCATCCATTCCATAGAATGGTCTTACAAATTCAATAATGTTTAGATTGATGGGGGGGAGATTTAACAACTCTTTCACTGCATGTGTCTCACCTGCCAGTGAGAGTCAGTGAAACTGGATACGCAAACAGCCTCTGATTTGAACGCTACCATTTTATAGTGTGTTCAGAGGACAGATAGCAATGGAAACAATCTCATCTTTCTAAGTCTTTAATACTGCCTTTTAAATAGCTGTGTGAATTTTAGCTGGTTACCAGCAGCTAGAACCCCTACTGCTTCTGGGATTGCAGAGGGGAACAGCAAACTGAGTTTTGAGCTGCCAGCAATCCTCCTGAAGTCTACACTGAACAGCAGGAGATTCTTGAGTGTAAGGTTAACAGGCGTAATAGGAAATGCACACCTGATTCCCCAGGAGGCTGGAGATGTACAAACAAGGGGCAGTGAGAAAATGGGGCTCTGAAGTCTTGAAGAAGACAGATGGGCTTGCTCCCCAGCTGGCTGTGAAACTGCATCTCTATGGAGAGCAATGATGGCTGGGGCAAAAAACTGAAAGAACTTTCACTTGATAGAAGCCTGGACTTTTCTTTAATGAACATAGATAGGACCATTCCAGCTCCTTGACTTAACACCCCACAATGTTAATTTATTTCTCAGGCTGAACAGCTGCCTGATCAGAAGTTATCTTAGAAAGTGGTTCCTTAACCAACACCTTTCCTTTTCTCCTATTCTCTATTCTGTCTTTGAAGATACATTCTTTAGGGTTGGAAAGAATCAAAAAAAGTGAAACGTTTCAAAGGAGTTTATTTTTTTGGAGGGAGGGAAGGGAGTGAGAAAGAAGTTGGAAGATGTAAATATTGTTTATGATCCACCTAATGGAAAAGTTTCTTTTTCTGCCAGGCTATTTGGTTATTCTACCCTAAACAGAGATCTTTTATCTGAACTTTCTAAATAAAGTTGAGAATAATGTATTGGAGACCTGGAGATCAAATTTTGTGTGAGCAGTAGGCACATCTTCTTTGTAGCTCCTTTGAGCTGAGTGAGGATGGTAGCATGCATATAGTGTTTGAGCTCTGAAAGGTAAGCATGTTAAGGTAGAACTTTAGTGTCTAGCCTGTATTATAGGCTGTTTGTAGAGAGTTCTATTTAGATGCCTAGGTGCTCATTTCCAAATATTTTTTCTTTTAAACAGTGTCTGTTCATATTTGCCTTCCTTGAAAATTTATTTCTAACAATTGGTAAATTCTTCCTAGAACTTTTCTAAGACATAATTGATTTTGTTTTCCTGAACGCATAATTTTATATGGTAATATCTGTGCAAAAGCAATTTGCTATGGTTCAGGGAACTGGACTATTATGGGCATTTGTCTTTGTAATGCAATTACAAAGCTACTACTTTTATCTGCTTTCTAAATAAAGTTGAGAATAATGTATTGGAGACCTGGAGATCAAATTTTGTGTGAGCAGTAGGCACATCTTCTTTGTAGCTCCTTTGAGCTGAGTGAGGATGGTAGCATGCATATAGTGTTTGAGCTCTGAAAGGTAAGCATGTTAAGGTAGAACTTTAGTGTCTAGCCTGTATTATAGGCTGTTTGTAGAGAGTTCTATTTAGATGCCTAGGTGCTCATTTCCAAATATTTTTTCTTTTAAACAGTGTCTGTTCATATTTGCCTTCCTTGAAAATTTATTTCTAACAATTGGTAAATTCTTCCTAGAACTTTTCTAAGACATAATTGATTTTGTTTTCCTGAACGCATAATTTTATATGGTAATATCTGTGCAAAAGCAATTTGCTATGGTTCAGGGAACTGGACTATTATGGGCATTTGTCTTTGTAATGCAATTACAAAGCTACTAACTTGATCTTAATAACATTTGCCTAGTACCACTTATTAGATGCATGAAAGGAAAACAATGCAATTTTAAACACAGAAAATGATACTGAAATATGGTCATGCATCTCTCCTGGATTATCAGCCCCAAGGATGTAGTGGATGGGATGACAAAATTTTCTGCTTTTATTTTTGTAGACATTTCATGAATCCTATATTTTAGAATTAAACTATATTTCTAATGTTGTATCAAGTAAAATTAGCATGTGTTTTTATATCTTTATGTGTATTTGTTTGTGTGCATGTATGATTTCCTTACTAAAGTGCAGTTTGTATCAGTTTAAGTTTTTAATGTTCTTGCTATTTTTTTTTTTTTAATTACTCAAAAGACAGTCAGTTAAGGCCCGACTTAGAAAGAGACATACATAAGTGTTCAGCTTCAAGCCTGTGCTCAGGAACATAGCAACTTGTAAGCCTAAAATACAACATGTATTTATAGATCTTGATTCAGCAAGTTATTTAATTTCAAGTATTCTAATTTTTTGTCTGCAGTAGCTCATAATTTATATTAGAGCTATTACAGAGGAGTTCCTGGCCAAGGGGGATTGATTTAGACGTCTTTCCATCACATGAATGGCATGTGCTCACATAGACTCTTTTGAAGTGGACTTTACTGCATGTTTGGGACCATCCTGAATACTCTATTCCAGGTTGTTTTGGACTTTTAATAGTTTTCTTGAAATCCCTGACTTATGTGAGAAGAATTTATTTTTTTTTTTTTAGTCTGGTGCTTAATTGGCAGGCATCCATTAACAATTGAGAGATTTAGTGGCATTTTCAACAGAAAGGCCAAGAGTTGATTAAACTGTACGACTGCATTGCGCACAGACCTTGTACAATAGAGAAAAGCATTATAAATACAAGAGGCTATTATAATTGAAAGTTACATTTACTGAGAAAACATAACAGTCAAATTTTCTTTCTGATGAGGGTAGCCTATATAGGGCAGAAATTTATTTTCCAAGATTGCATTTCTGATGCTAGTTATCTTCTGATCACCTCTGACATTTCTAAAGGATCTCATCATCACAACAGTCTTTAGAGGTAGATGAACAGAGGTCATAACTTTCTTCCAAAGGTGAAGGTGACTCTTGTGTTCTCTGCTTTGCAGACAGAAATGTCTAATTCAACTGATGATCATAGAAAACAGAAGTCCTACTTGCTTCCACATTGAGGCTTCCTGTGTTGTTAATCAGCATATTGATTTTTTTGTTGGCAGTTTTAATTAATTTTCTTTTAAAGCAAATTGCTGAAGAATCTTCAGGCAGTGCTACTAGCAAATGTGACATAAAGACTCTTAAAACATCCTGGAATATTTAATATGTGTCCTTCTATTTTTAATTCAAAGGATGCTGTGACAATATGCACTCTGGGAATAGGAACTGCTTTTGGAGAGTCCATTCTGGATAACACTCCTCGCCATGCTACCATCGTTACCAGAGAATATAGCGAGCTCCTTCGAATTGAGCAGAAGGACTTTAAAGCACTTTGGGAGGTAAATTCAGATTTATTTGCAATTTATGCAGAAAAAAGTGATTTAACCTTTTAAGTGTTTGTAATGAAATATAAGCACATTTATACCATAAGTAAAGTAATAATTCTTTTAAATTAGTTTGGACAAAAAGAAAAGTCTTTTTACTTCTTTTTAGTGCGTCATATTCTGCATGATTACATACTCCTGTATTTCTTTCCTGCGGGCTTCTTCTAATGAGATAACTTAGGTGAAATTTCTGGTGGAATTTATTTATATACTGCAGGTGTTGCTTTCTTAGCCTTAAACTTGCTTTTATTGCCAGCATTTACGAGGAGAGTCTGTCCTTAATATACTCTGATATTTTAAATTATTCTCCTTTACTCCTGTCTCATCAGCAGCTGTAAGGGGTTTAGAATTTGCAGATGGATCAAGATCACTTAAAAATTAAGTTACTGATTACTGTGAATTCCCTTAAAACTTTCCTTTGTGGAGAACGTACTGCTGAGGTTCTTCTTTCTATAATCTGCGTGTACTTTGGTATCCATGTTGAGGGGGCTTCATTAACATGTTACTGTGCTAAGTTACTGAACTTCAATCAGTTTGCATTTTTGTAAGCATCACACTTGATTTGACAAGTGTTCTAGGAATTGGAAGGCATCCTGTTGGCCTGGCCTACACTACTGCCATTTTGTACTGCCAGCTTGTTTTAAATGATGACTGTACAAATTTAGGTGTTGTGTAGAGCTGTCAGATGGTGTGACAGTGTCCTAAAGTTGCAGATCTAGGGACACTATATTTAAGAAATAGATGCTGGTAGTAGCATTTTAGTTCAGCATCGCTCCTAAGTGCAGACAGATGGGGTTTTTTTGGCTTTCTCTTTTCCTGAGAAAGAGCAGTATTATACTCCAAATAATTGTAAGGGTATCAGAAAGAAAATCAAATCCACAACTAGCTACACTGACTGAGGAAACAGCACTAATGCCACCTGCCTGCAAATACTTTGCCTTGAGCATAGTTAATGGTGCAGCATGACCAAGGCATGAAAGACCAATGTGTGAATGAAATGTGCTTGCCATTAATGCTCTGACAGTATCAGATTTCATTCTTCGAATTGCATAGCCATAATTTGTACTGGGTTTTCGGCAATGTTTACAGCTAAAATAAAATGCTCGTAAAGTCTCCTAGCAAATTTGAAGAAATTCACAACGCAATATTTTTCTGCAGGTCATGCTTTTTTCTCTACAGGAGTTGCATTATAGTTTTAGACCCTGGCATTAAAGGATTAAATATGCCAGTGGTCTCATCTGTTTTAACATATGCTACACTTGCCAGTGGTCAGAAATTTTAATGTAGATAGTACTTTACAAGCTCATGATGGAGGAGAATAAATCCAATTGTAGGTTTCTTGAGTAACTTTTTTTTTTTAATTCACTTTTAATTGGTATAAGCAGAGTCATTTCTGCTATGTATATGACTTTCCTGCTAAGCATTCAGAGATTGTTGGTTTCCTATCAGAAATATTGGGGGAGTGGAAGTTAAGTTCCCTTCTTAAAAATTTTGAACCTTAAAGCATATTTAAAGTTGTTTTAAAAAAACCCGCCAATGTCATTTGCTCTTTAATCACTAATACAATGTTGTTTCTAACAATTTTTCTGATTTTGATGAGTTGTTTGGTGAGGGATAATTTTGGGAAAGGTCATGTGTGTTGAAAGTATTGGGAGCTATCATAGGGAGCCTTAGCACACATCTTGTATATTACAATTTTTATGAAATTGTGTAGTAGAGCATGTCACAGATGCTGCAGGTGTCAGTCACAGACCACAGTCTAGCTTTGTGATGCTTCTTTGCCTTTTGTGCAGTTTTACAGTGAACTTTTCATTTATCGTGCTTTCTTTCAAGGAGGCTATCCCTGTGCTCTTAGTGAGTGGAAAATTATGCCACGAAATACAGCTTTGCTGGTTAGTCTGAGGTAGAATTAAGTTGCTCATTTTTTCCAAGGCAATATTTGTTTCTTTGCTATCTACTAATCCCAAAGCCTACATAAACTGCAGCTAAAGTATGATATACAGAGTATGTTCAAAACAGACAGAAAATTATTTAAGAAAATTCCCCCCAAATATACTAGCAATAGCAGCGGTATATTATTATTATTATTATTATTATTATTATTATTATTATTAT